GTCTCTGGAGAATCTGTTGCTCCACAATGAGAATTGCGGCCTGACGATCAAGATAATAGATTTCGGGATGGCCACGCTGGACAGGTCGGCGACGGCGGAGATCAGGGGGAAGCAGTCGTACCAGGCCCCAGAGATCCACCTGCCAGAGCCCTTCGACACCATGATGACAGACCCGTTCTCCCTTGGTGTGGTGCTGTTCGCGATGGGTTCGCAGGACTACCCGTGGAGCGCAACCAAGCGGAAGACATGCGAGCTCTTCGAGTATGTCTGCATGTTCGGTTTCACGAAATTTCTCAGCAAGCGCAGGCTGCGCAAGGGCGGCGGCGAGAGTTTGGCCGAGGTATTCTCCCCAAGTTTCACGGCGCTGCTGGTGGGCCTCCTGGCCAAGGATGCAGGGAAGCGATTGACTCTCGGCGAGAAGTGTTTTGAGACACCCGAGAATGGCAGCGAACGGCGGAGTAGCGTCTGGGACTGCAAGTGGATGCAACAGCCTTTGGTCACAACGACGGAGGGTGAAGCGTGTACTGCATGTGCAGCGTATTGTACCTGACTTATCTCTCAACGCTCGGATGGCGGGTGCGGATCGTTTTGGATCCCCAGGCCTTCTAAGACGGTAGTTTTCTTGAGTTCCAATTAGTGAGCCAACAGCTTGGATATTATATATCTTCCGAGCAGAAAGTTTTCAAGTAGGCAGCATCCACACATGTTCGCTCTCCGTCCTCCGCTCGCGATTTCTCCTGTAGCTCCTTCTTTTCCCCCTCACATTGCTGTCACCCTCATCGTGTCATTTCAACTATGCCGCCGATCTAGTGTGTGAGTACTTGTTTTTTGGCAGTTGCAACTGGCGAGTCCGATTGATCCGGATCTCTCCAGCCTCCAGCAACTTGGAGGTGCATGCTGCATGTACAAGTGGTTGATTAGTTCGCGTTTCTTTGTAATGGTGAGGCTGGCCCACTGCGCGTAGCTCAGCCTACAAAACGAAGTGGATATGTCATAGGGGTGTTCAGGCGCCCGCCTGGTAAACTTGTTGGTTTACGAATGCGTTCATACTCGCGGGCCGGGGGGGAAGATTGCTGAGGCCTGACGGCCGGTGCCGCCGACCCTGGAGGACTCGGCCCTGCCGACACGCCACGGGAGGGTGGTGTTCTGACCTGGGACCAACCCCCGGGACCACCCCCTGGGACTCCCCCCCTCCGCGGGGAGAGGATCAAAGGGCAGGGGCTTCCCGTCGACTCAGTGACAACGTTGCTTAATTTCGCTGTGGATGGGCTGGTGTATTTCGCCTTGGCTGGCGTGCTTGAGGACGAGGGCCCAAGAAAAAGGGGGAGCGGCGACGGACTGAGGGGAAGGAGGGGGTTTGATGGCGGCGGCGACGCGACGACGGCAGCGACGGCGATGGCGACGGAACAGCCCCTGTCATACGCCGACGCCGCTGGGCCATCGCTCAGGGGAGGAAAAAACAGCCCGACACCACGTTTGCTGCGCAGTCCTGGGCGTTTGCCGAAATGCCCTGCCGTGCTTAGGAAGCGGCTTCGCTCGTCGGGGTTCTTCTCAGGAGGCCTGGTGCTTCAGCCCTGCCATCGAACCTCGGCTCGCCAGCCTTGACGGCGACGTGGCGAAAACACTGCAGAACAAAATCACGACCAGAGCCCCCGCCTCGGACCCCATCTTCCTGCGCCGTGCGCCGCTCTTAGGGCCCGATCGACCTACGAGGGCCCCAGGGCCCGAGCCCGGGCGAGCGCGCCCGACTCGACAGACATGGAGACGCGTCGGACCCCAGGGGTGTTCCCTGCCATCGTGCGGCGGCGGCGGCCGCGCGAGGTCCGCGCGAGCGCGGGCGCGGGGCTGGCCGTGTGGATCCACGGGACGCCGCGGCAGATGCAGGATCCGGGGCGCGCTTTCGTGGCCGAGGACTCGGGGCCCGCGGCCTGACCGTGGGGGCGCGCATCGAGAAGCTTCCCACCTCTTCCCCCGGCCCTCCCTCCCTCCCTCCTTTCCCCTCCCTCGATCCTCCCTCGCTCCTCCTCCAGGAGGAGGAGGAGGAGGAGGAGGAGGAGGAGGAGGAGGAGGAGGAGGAGGAGGAGGAGGAGGAAGGCCCGCCGCCAGCCAGCGCCGCTGGCGCCCCCCGCGCCGCTCCCGCCCCTCTCCTCGCTGGCGGCGCGATCGAGGTGCGGCCTTCTGCGGACGGGCGCTGTCGACGCCCACTCGGGCCGGCAGCCGCGCGTCGCGCGCACCACGCGCGGGCTGGAGCCCACGCCGCCGAGCACCTCGTGCTCGCCTTCGCGGCCCTCACCAGCCCTCACGGACCACCGTGGCGGGCAGCCATCGAGGCTGGCCCAGGCCTTGGCCAGGGCGCTGGCGGCCCCGTCGCCAGCCGCCACCCCCTGCCCAGTGCGAGGACCGACGCGGAGGCCAACCCAGAGGCCAGCGCGCAAGCGAGCGGCGCGCAGGCGAGCCACCCAGGCGTCGTCCGCGAGCTTGCCCCCCGCGCCAGCCCTGGAGCTCAACCTGCGACAGTGGCCGGCTCCCCTCTGGCGGCTGGGCTGGCAGGCTCGCTGCTGGCCACCGGATTGGCACCTGGCGCTGCTGCAGCAGAGCCCATCGCAGGCTCGGGCGCCCGTCCCCGCGCCCCTCCCCCACTCGTTCTTCCCCTGCTTGCCGGCAGCGAAGCATCCGGAGATGCTGCAGTGGCTGCGCCCTCACGGTCGACAACGCTGCTCCAGAGCGAGTCCGCCATGTTTCGCATTCTGGCGTAGCCGGTGCAGACGTCGGCGCGCAAGTGCCCCAAGTCCGAGAGGCTCCGAATGCAGCTGGTCAGCTGCACACGATCGTGCACTCCATAAGCGGGCCTCCTTCCTCAAGATCGGCACGCAGCAGTGGAAATGGGGTCGTGCACGACATGTTTTGTCCATGCCTGTGAGTGTCGACGCAGTTGTGGCTCGTGATGCTGTCCAAACTCATCAGCGTTACCCTGCGTCCCCTGTGGACGAATGTGAGCGAGCTATGAACGATTTGCTGCTCACTTCTCTGAATTATTCGTTGGTGGATTCGCCCAGGTTACCACCAGCTCCTATGACAGAAGCGCTCCGCAACCAGACTGCAGGAGCCCCACTGGCGCCGGTCCCAGCCTCATTGATATCGATATGCAGAAGGGCTGCCGAGATCGAGTGGCATTGTATGAGGTGCGCTGACTCGTTTGGTATTCAATCACGTGCCGGGGATCCATCTGTCTCCAGCCCAGCTGGCGGTCCACACTCTCCAGGCAGCCAGACGGTGAGGCAGCGCCAGCCTGCTTTTGCGCATAGTGTTCAAGCTCGCGTGCGTCTCTGCGCAGCGTATTCTCGACGGGCTCCTTAGCTTTGGTAGTAGCTTCTGCAGTCACACATCACATGCCCAAACCTGTTTATACAGGGAGGGGCTGCTCCAGTACCTGATCCTGCCTGGCGGGACCTTCCCTTGTCAACCCGCCCCTGCGCTGAGGAGTCGGTGTTGGCAGCTCGTGTTATGATGTTCCAACCTGCTTTAGCCCTGATCACCAGAAAGAATTTCGAGCGCCATGAATGTACCGAAACTGGAGGGCGTTCACGTGTCGGGCCTTGGGAGGCGACACTCGTTCGACACTTGGCCAGCATGTCGGGTGGACACTGTGTTGATACTTTTCTTGGTGCTCGAAATTATCCGTAAGGGCTTCGCCCCCTGCCGCCGGCCCCCTCTCTCGGAGAATGGGCCATGGAAGAGCAGGTTTTGGACCCTGACCCCGCGGATCTGCGTGAGGGGTGGCACCGAATTTCAGAAATGTGGCAAATCCCCTTTGTTTTTGGACCCTGACCCCGCGGATCTGCGTGAGGGGTGGCACCGAATTTCAGAAATGTGGCAAATCCCCTGTGTTTTTGGACCCTGACCCCGCGGATCTGCGTGAGGGGTGGCACCGAATTTCAGAAATGTGGCAAATCCCCTGTGTTTTTGGACCCTGACCCCGCGGATCTGCGTGAGGGGTGGCACCGAATTTCAGAAATGTGGCAAATCCCCTGTGTTTTTGGACCCTGACCCCGCGGATCTGCGTGAGGGGTGGCACCGAATTTCAGAAATGTGGCAAATCCCCTATGTTTTTGAACCCTGACCCCGCGGATCTGCGTGAGTGGTGTCGATTTTGAGCCCCCCCAGCAATTCAGACAACGCGCCCAGGTGGTGCTAAAAATCTGGTTTGGGCCTCCCTCCCCTCGCGCGGTCAATCAACTAGTTACAGTAACCAGCAAGAAGCAGAACTGTAACACTGGAAACTACAAACTACAACTGGTACAGGAAACTGCGAATCACGGGCCTACAGCCTGGTGGCCCCACAAGGGGGCCAGCGGATTTCTGGGATGTGGTCCTCAAGCACGACGGGAACAACATACAGCTCGTGTGGAGTGCGGCGTCGCGCGGCCCCTTCCTCGTCGTGAGTCGCCCCCGCCGCTCTTGCCTCTTTCCCCCCGAGTCTCCGCTTCGCCCAAGGTGGGTTTCCCCCCCCTCTGCAGGTTAATTTGAGCGACTGCTTGCGTGTACTGTCTACAGTGGGGGCCCATGCCAAGAAACATCCTGCTTGCCTCCAGGGTGCCCTGGGTTTCTCGGGTTTCGATGGTTTTGCTGTGGAAAGCGTGACGTTCCCACTCCAAAAATCGATGGATGTGCTGGGGTCTCAGGGTTGGATTTCTTGTGGAAGGTTTCTTGTGGACTCGCCTCAACTGTGCTTGAGCCGAGGCTGGGCCTGTGTCCCTGCTTCTCCGATGCAGTCGCAGGTTTTTGCATGCGCTGCCACTTCTTGGCGCGCCCTCATCGTGGGTCGCCCCCGATGCTCTGGCCCTGCCGTTGGTTCTTCGGGCTTCTCTGGGTGTGTCGACACTGCCTGGGTGTGGTGTGGTGTTTTGTCCGTCTTGCAAGCTCTCCTCTTCAGTAGTGTTTTCCTCTCTCGGCGCCTCCCGCCACCTTTGACACCTCCTGGCCATTCAGCGCATTGTTTGTTTCCCGCTCAGGTGAGAGTATCTGCAGCCGCCGCAGCTCTGCACTGTTCGCTCGATGCAGGCTATACAGCCCTCCGATCTGCCATTCCTCTTACTTCTCATCGTCTCACATTATCCCGCTGTGGCTCTAGCCCACACGCAGCGAGGAGCTGAGAGCATATCAGCACGCCCAGTGCACGCGGCTACATAAAGGCAACGAACAAACAAAAATTTCCTCCTCATCCTCCTCCCTCCTCCCTCCCGCCTCCTCCCTCCCTCGATCCTCCCTCATCAATCCTCCCTCCACGCTCCATCCCTCTTCCTCTTCGATCCTCCCTCCTCCTCCCTCCCTCGATCCTCGGTACCCTCGTGCTCTTCGTGCTTGCTGGATGTTCGTGTGCATCATGGGGAGGGTACCTTTGGATGTTCTGTTTGGTTTGGCCGACGGAGGGTATCCTGTTCTTGAGGGATGTTCTTCTGGCCTAGGTCCTTTGTACACATGCCACCGCTTGTCCTCCCGAGAGCGGTGGGCCCGTCTCGGGGAAGGACGCTTATAATTACCTCTCGGCGG